GGTTCCATCTCGTAGGAACTGAAGAAATTTGAAGGCAACCACAAATAATTAACCAAAGGTATTTTCTACTATGTAGATCCAAATGCTTAAGCATTTTATTAGATATAGAAGAAGGGCCTGTAGCTTTGTCGTTAGGCAGACAGTCTAAAATCCTATACCATTCGTCAGCTGATGGGAACGAGATAAGCTGGTCGTATATCGATGAGTCAATATCGGCGATTGGTTGGTATGTGGAAGTCCATTCTAATTTCATTAAAATTTAAACTATAAATTATAGATTTCATCTAATAGTTATAAATTTATATATAATTTTAATAATATGTTTATAATTATAATAATTATATAATTTATATAATATTATATTTATTAGAATTTTTATTAAATTTGCTAATTATTACTAACATAAAATCTGATAAATAATTAGATTTCCCTAAATTTTCAATAAAAATATTTTAAAGTTTCTATTTGAAATTTTGATCTTTAGTAGAATAAGATAAATTTGAAATATTTGTAATATTAATTTTAAGCTCTTCATCATCACTATTACTATTAATTTGTTTATTTTTATTATCTTCATTTGATTTATCTTCTAATATATTAATCCATCTTGATACTAGATTTCTTAAATTACTTTCAGAATATTAGAATCAGTATCTATTTCAATTAATCATCAAATAAATTAATTAATTCATTATCTAATATATTTAGATCTTCTAATATATTTATATCTTTATTTACTAGAAGTGCAATACTTGTATTTTAAAATTTTAATGCATCTTTATCAGTTTAAGTTTTTATTATATTGAAGCATATATTTACATTATTCCTAAAACCTTTTATATTAAATAATTAAAAATTATTAATAAAAAATGTTAATATTATATTTATAAAATTAATTTATTAATTGAAATACTTATTGCTAAATGATTTTGACATTTTAAATGTAATCATTCTATTATAAAAAAAGTTTTTTAAAAGATGCTGTAGTTATTGAAATTGAAAAAATACATTTATGGTACATTTCACCTATACTCAAAAATAAAATCACGTAATTAAATTTGTAAAAATTTTTTAAATATATAATTTA